ATTATGTAAAGGTACAATTCCCAATGAGAAATGTAATTGTGTTGTATACCTACAATGTACCAATAAAAGAATTTAATACAAAAAAAAAAAGAGTCAACAATGGTGAGAAGGCTTCCTTTGTGGGACTTTCTTGTTCTTTTTCCCTCTAATATAATGATGTTTCTGGTGTAACATACAGGTTGGAAAGGAAGGATGTGAATGGGAAGGAAAAAAGACTTAAAATTTACACTCTATAAACTGAAGTATATTAGGAGGTTGAGCTTTTTTTTGAAAAGGGAAACTTTGGTGTTTAATCCTCTTATTCTAATAAGATATGAATAACATAGTATTTAAAATACTAAGTCATTCCGAAGTTGGCAATTCAGTGGCATTAATTGGTGCATAACTATTACCTCATTATACCCAAAACATTTTCATCATCCTCAATTAAAACTCAGGATTCATTACCCAATAAATTCCCCATACCTCCTTCTCCAGACCTTGGCAAGCTTTTGTCTGTTTTCTTTCTCTGTGAATTTGCCTACTCTAGGTACTTCATCTAACTTGGGATCATACAATATTTGTTCTTTTGTATGTGATTTCTTTCACTAAAAAAGTTTTCAAGGTCCATTTATTTTGCACCACATAGGAAATTTCGTTCCCCAAAACAAGCATACTCCTACATGTAATAAAAAAAAAAAATTTGTTCTGTCTTCCTAGAAAACCCTTGTTCTCTAGAGTTTGTTAAATCTCCATAAAGGAAAGTAAAAGCATGTTTGAGCTTACCTGACTTTGTTAACTTAGGGTCTTCTGAGTACATAGAAGCTTTTTCCTATTGCCTAAGAAGCCCAAATTGCTTCTGAGTTTTGTTTTAATTTTTCTTTGAGATCTTCTGGTATTAAGAACTGACAAGCTCCTGTGTTAAAACCAAAAAAAAAAAAATCTTACATTCAGTTACTATGGTCAACCCTAAAAGCATTTTAGCTATCTATCTATGACCATGACATAAATATTTGTTGTAATTTTTAATCAATTTAATCAGGAAGGAGTACAATGTGTAGGCCTTGAACATTTAACATAACCTATGTTTATAACCCCTGCCTTTCCTGTCACATTTCAGTATAGTGTTTTGCAAGCCCATCAAGCCCAATGCCATCTTTTTACAAGAAATACTTTGAACCAGGCATGGTGACATGTACCTGTAATCCCATGACTCTGGGAGGCTGAGGCAGAAGGGTCACAAGTTCAAGTCCAGCTTGGGAAATTTAGCTACTTAGCAAGACCCTGCCTCACAATTAAAAATAGAAAAGGTCTGGGGCTGGGGATTTAGCTCAGTGGTACCATGCCTGCCTCGCAAGTACATGGTCCTGAGTTCACTCCCTGGTACCACAAAATGATAATAACAATGATAATAATAATAATAATAATAATAATAGAAAAGGGCTGAGGTTATAGCTCAGTTCAAAGGCCCTAGTCTTAATCCCCAGTACCACAAAAAAAAAAAAAAATGTTTTGTTAAGCTTTCTTCTGAAATGGAGGTTCCTAGTCACTATACATATATGCATCCATTAAGTTTTTAAATTTGAAATGATACCTTAAGCATAATATAAATTTTTTAAAAAGAAAATGGCTTTTAATATAATGATATATATTCTAATATGTAAATGCTTGAGAATAACTATATTGTGAGACATCATGAAGTGGTCAGGAGCTGTATTTAGTTGGAGAATCATCTTTGAATTCACCAACTACAAACACAAACCAAGATGAATGTGCTACGTAAACAACTAAATGTGTTGAGCAATGCTGTGATTTACTAACAGTTATACAAATTTCCACAATAACAAATTTTTTTAACAAAAGGTCTGAACAAAACTAAAATACAAACCTTTAGTTCTAGAAAATTTGGAGTTTATTAACACTGCAATAAATACATTGTGTTTATATGTAAATTGAAGTTAGGCTATTGGTTTGAATAAGTATACACAGGTTTCTCCAAACTCAAGACTGTCCTCTTGGACATAAGAGAGTTAAATGGGAGCCAGTCCTTCACTGTGCAGGACTATTCCAGAACTGCATAATATTACCATCCCTGACACCTGCCTTGTAAATGTTAGTGATGACCCCCACTCAGTGTGACAATAAAAAATTAGACTCACAAATTTTTTAAATGATTCAGAGGGGAAATAGAACTGGTCTGGTCTTTTTAGAAATGGGAAGCCATCAGATAATCCTCTGTGTCTCTATGACTTCCCAAGTGTCATAGCACACATGATTTGCATTGTTGGGTCTGGAGAGAGACACACCTACGGACAAATTAGGCAGGGAGTAGTTCCTTCCATGTTTTCAGTCTATTGGGTAATTTTTGTCTTTGTCCACATAGTGGGCCTGAGATTCTTAGCCTCTGCCTTTCTCTTGGGACAGTCCATCTACCATCTGTGCTAAGCTTCCTAAATGTCAGAAAGTACAATTTTACTGTGGATACTCATAAGCTGAACATGTAAATTATGTCATTACAGCTTCAAAAAGGGGTCAAACTCTCTTCTATTTCATTTTTCCCTTCAAAGTTTACCCTTAATTGCAGCCTCTAGACCAAAGCTGCAAGTCTTGGCATAGCTCCTATACTATTAGAAAAAGAGTCTACTAATTTCTTTCTGTCCAGTTCACTTCCAACCTGTTTCCATGCCCATACTGCTCTCCTCAACATCAGCCTGAACCAAACCAGGAGGTTTTCTGCTTTCTGTGAGTACCACAATTATCAGAACTGAACTTTCCACTTTCTAATACCTCAGCCTCCTAATCACTCTCTGAAGTGACCAATCTCATCATGTTTCAAAAATATGAACCTGCTTTTTTTTTGATACAGGGTCTCACTACCTAGTCTAGGCTGGCCTTGAACCCACTGTGTAGCTCAAGCAGCAGGTTCCCTTCATGCCTCCCTGTTCCTGTCATTTATATGAAGTAGATTGGGGAGGTGACATTTTATTAATGAGGTCATTGATATCACAATGAAGTACAGAGAGATTGGTTGATTTGCCAATTATTATTATTATTATTATTATTATTATTATTATTATTACACAGCCAATAAGTAGTAGGACTGGGAAAATACCACAGGTTTTTGTTCGCTTATTTGTTGTTTTTTATCTTAATTTGTGAAGTTTTTCAGTCATCTGTTCAGTAACTCCATGAAAATAAAAATCTCTTCAGTGAACTAATTTATATTTACCCTTTCACAAACCTTTAAGATTTAGCAAGTCTCTCAAAAAGCCTTCATGCCTTTCTTTTTGTCAGTACAGTTGGAAAACCGTTCATTTTCCAGTCTATCATCATATTTCCAGAAGTGCCTCTGCCCTTCTGATGGTTTAAGGGTGCCCTTCTTTTGACCTTTTAACATTATTATTTTTTTCTGAATATACAGAAAGCAGATTTGCCACCCCAAGAAATACATAGATTCTATATTTGGACACATAGGTATGGTAATCATTTCCATTTTATTTCTGAAGCATAATATAGACCAAAGAGCACTTTGGACTTGAGAATTCTCAGAACAGCCATCACTGCATGTTCAACATCCAACAGAGGAGCCAGCTTTCTATGCATTTTAATCTGTTCCTTTGACATTTTCTCTACCCTAAAAACCCTGCAAACTTCAAAGCCTAGTTTGAATGCTGCCTCTTCTATTATTAGTCAGTTGTCTCCAGAAAAATAGAGCCAGTAGGAGATTACACACAAACAGACACACAGACTTAAAAGAATTTCCTCGAGTGGTTATGGAGGCTGAGAAGTCCCATGATCTGCCATCTCCAAGCTGGAGACCCATGAAAATGCCTGGCATGATCCCAGTCTGCATCTGAAACCCTGATGGGGAGCAGGAGAACCAATGGTGTAAGTTCTAGGTCAAGTCCAAAAATAGAAACTATCTGGTATAAGTCCCAGTCCAACAGCAGGAAAAGATTGACATCCCAGCTCAAGCAATCAGGTGGAGAGAGGGAGAGAGAGGTCTCCTTTCCTCCACATTTTTGTCCCATTCAGTCCCTCACCTTAACAGACTGTATTAGATTGGGTGATGTCCTGCCACACTGGGGAAAGCAATCTTCTTTACTCAATCTACCAATTCAAAAGTAATCTCCTCCAAAAGCATTTTCACAGACATACCCAGAAAGAACGTTTAACCGGATGATCTGGCCACCCTCTGTCACGTTGACACATAAAACTCCCCATCACATCTATGAAGTCTCCCAACTTCCAACATAATACCTCTAATTTTCCCATTGCACATTATCTGTTTAGCACTTATTTAATTTTCCTATATAGTACAGCTAATTGCTCACAAATGTTTGTTACATTCACTCTTATTTATACTTCACTAAGTAGTACTCATTTCCTTGCTTACCAGTGTTCTTGTAACCCATTACTTCTTTCTGAAATCATTGTTCTTCCTTCTGGAGTAACTTCTGTGACAGCATCTGTGGGTGACAAATTGTTTGAGTTATATATGTTCCCATTAGGAAGATCTTGGCAGAAAATAACAGCAAAATCTATATGCAAATGTTTTTGTTGTTCTTGTTTACAATACTGGGGAACCAAGCCCAAAGCCTCATATAAACTAGGAATGCACTACTCCACCACTGAGTCACATACCCATCTCCTCAAATTGTTTTTAAAACAAATAAATTCAATGAGCTCACTTACCAGGAGGTCTGAGATAGGGAAGCCCCATGACATGTAAATCAAAAGTCCTTCTCATCCCCCACTCTGTGTCCTCTACCTTTCCATTCTTCCCTAGGGTTAATTTCCTTCTGAACAATGGATACCACAGTCCCAGAATTACAGGCAGATGTGACAGTGTCCAAGTGATGTGGACTCTACCTCTTTCTTTCTCAAAGGAAAGGAGACTTTTCACATAAGCCAGCCAGTAGACTTCTCTCATCTAATTGAACAGGACTAAGTCACTCAGCCCTTTATAAACCAACCACTGTCAGAGACTAGGATTATTACAATTAGTGCACACTAATTAAGATTCAACCTTTGTGAGCCCAAAGGTGGTGACAAATACACCATAGATGTGAGATGTAGTTGATCCTTGGTTTGTTGGAGAACACTTGTGGGAAGGGCTCACCAGAACTTACTTAGTCACCACACAGAGTTATGCTTGAACTAGGCTGAGCAGGATGCAGCTCGAGGGGTGGAGCCCTGGGACAAAGAGCTTGTGTTTATGCTGCTCTCATATTTACAGGAAAGTGTGTAGGAATACTTCACCAGGACTATAGGCATGGGAATTTTGAGCCAGGGGATTCTTGAGAACACATGGTGCAACTTTGACTTCAGTCACATGGGAGTGACTAGGAAACTTTTCTTCCTAGTTCTGGCGTCAACTACAGACCCCAAGCTCCCCTGGTAAGCCAGTTCATTGCTAGGGTCACCAAGAGAGCAAAGGACGAGATCCTGGAATGTGTGACAGTTTGTCTCGCCTCATCCCTGAATTGCATGGGTGAATTGCACAGGGTTCTATCAGCAAGAGAGAAAACCCACTGAGTAAGCGAGAAGGTACACTCTGGACCATGACTACTTGACACCCTCACCACCCACCAACAGGAGCTAAATCTTAATTCTGAACTTGGGTTTTGTTCTTTCACTGAAGATTTGACCTCATTGTCTTCTGTCATCCAGTATTGAAAGGAAAAAAACTGAGGTTGGATTCTCTAGAGTAATTTTTGTAATTTTTTAATGTAGATGAGAGCCAAAATGTTATAACTTTGTGTGAATTTGTAAGGTGGTTTCCTCTTGTTTGGGACAGGCTTTTAGATCTTAGAGGTCTTTTTTTCATGTGATTTCTTTTGTTATTTATTTGAGGAATGCCTTAATTATCTCTTTTATTCATCTAGACCCATCCAGAGCAGCCACATATCATTTAAAAAATCTTTGTAACTTGCAGATATTTCATCCAGCTCTCCTTTCTTGTATATTTTTCATCCTTTTTTTCCTGTGTACTCCACCTGGATCCTCTTTCTAGATTTCTACTTAGCTCTTTAGTTTTGTCTTTCCTGCTGCTGAGCCTGCTATTGAAGGTCTATAAAATAAACTTTATTTTTGAAATATAGCATGCATACAAAGTGTACAAACTGAATGTGTACAAGTTGGTGAAGAATCACACAGCAATCTCACTGATAAAGAAAAGGCTATACCAAAAAATGCTGTCTTTCTTCCTTTAAGACATTAGTATACTTGATCTTCTCTCTTCCTCTCTGTTTTGCTGTCCCTGCTTCTCTCTCCTTCAGTCCTCCTCCTCCTTCTTCTTCCTCTCTCTCTCTCTCTCTCTCTCTCCCAGTACTAGGAAATGAGCCCAGAACCTTCACACTGACTACATCCATAGCCCATGTTTTCGTTTTTCTTTTGGGACAGTCTTCCTAAGTTGCTAAATTGCTCAGACTGGACTCAAACTTCTGATCGTCCTGCCTCATCCTCCTATAACATAGGGATTATATGCAGCAAAGTACTGCTAACCCTTCTTTTTTTGTTGTTTTTGTTTTTGTTTTTGTCTTGTTTGTCTGTTTTTCTGAGACAGGGTCTTGCTTTGTAGTTCAGGCTGGACTAGAACTCATGGCAATACTCCTGCCTCAGCCTCCAGAGTACTGAGATTACAGGCATGTGCCACGACACCTGGATTGCTAGATTCTTCTTTGAGAGCAGCTGTTCTGGTCCTAAGGCAGAGTTTGGTTCAAATGAGTTACATATGAGTTATCTCTCCAAAGATCTAGCTCACTCTGATACTGTTGATTTTTCTAATTATTCCTTCTTGCTCATGTAATCATTTTACTCACCCTTCTTTCTTCTGGGTGAAGATAGTAGATAGGTATACTGTTTCCTCAGCCTCATGCCTTTCCTGCTGTTCTCAAAGGCATTGTCACTCACTTTTCTAACTGGGGACTGAGGAGAATAATCTCAAGAAATGGAGCACACAACTTGCAGCTTTCATGTGGATCTTATGAAAACTAAATGTGAGTCCTTAAAAATTATCTAGGTCTTCCAGAAACTAGAAAATTTTGTGACTAGCTCAATGTAACAGATGCTTACCAATTGCCTATCTTTTTACTGTTATTGTTCAATCAATCAATATTTATTGATCACCTACTCTGCTCCAGGCTCTGTTTTAGGAGCCATAGTCATATAATAAGTAAGATGACACCTTGCTTTGAAGGAAATTCCCATGGAGTTAAAAGGGAAAGGCGTACAGAAAGAAATAAAGCAAATAACAGAAAGGGGCATGTGCCCTAGAGCAGTGTAAACAAAAGACATCGGGTGATGTTGTCAAAAGAGGGAGATCACACTCAGATCAGTAAACCAGGATGGCTTCATGGAATATGGAATTTAAAATGAACTTTGAAGCTTGGTAGGAATTGGGCCGAGATGAGAAAGAGAGAACACTGCATAAAGAGCAGAGTGGAACTAGAGTGTGCAAAATAGATAGTTGTGACTGGGATGAGAATAGAGATTAATAAGGAGAGGTAAATTTTTAACAAGAACAACAAAAGAAATCGGTCTGTATCCACTACACTTATAGGTTACAACTTTAACCAATAGCCAGAAGAAGCTGTAACATCCAAAATGAGCTATTTTGTAGAATAGTATGTTTCCTCAATAAAAATAAACGACATGTTTTGTTAGTCCAGTTTAACCTGGATCAAATGCTTTAAGTCAATGCAAAGTGCTAATATGAATCTTTCTCTTTAAAGAATCTTTTTAATGAATGGATTTGAGACAGCAAAAACTTGCCCAGAGTTTTCCTAAGTGCAAGTATGGATATGCTAAGGTAAACACTGATGATTACAGAATTAGTTCTGGCTGAAAGGAACAGGGAAGGTTTCATGGAAAGTGTACATTTAGGATAGGACTTGGAAGGTGAGCTGTGCTGGAAAAGATGGAGTTGGGAAGACCAAGCTCAACTCTCTCTGTAGTGCTCAGTCAGGATGAACAAGAGCTCACTGAGAGTTGGTAATTCTAGAGACACTGCCTTTCATCTGACCCAGCCAATTAATTATAGGTATTAAATGAAAATTTTCATTAACATTCAAAGGATACAATTATAGCAAATTAAGTTTAAAAAATCCCAATTGGTTTTATTTGGGATTCCAAAGTCAAGCGACACTTCATTCCATACGTTTTTCTGATAAGCTGAGGAGAGGAGGTTGGTTTCATAATTAGAAAACAGGAAAAAAGTAGAAAAAGAAAACAAAAAGCAGATTAGTCATTTCACAATGACTTTCCTTATAAGGCAGGGACAGAGAGACAGAACAATAGAAAAAACTCACTGGTAAACATCAGTTTAAATCAGCTTCTCTCTCTCCTCTCTCTCTCTCTCTCCCTCCCTCCCTCTCCCTCTCTGTAAGAATTAAAGCATAGGGAAGTTCATTATCCTGATTGGAAACTGGCTTGTTTAGAAATTTAGCTAATATCTCTCTCCCCAATTTTGGGGAATATCAGATAACAATTTAGTTTGTGTTTGGTGATACAGAACTTTAGTATGAGTGACTGTATTTTTATTTTAGCCAGGTCTGTTTGGGGGATAGGCCAAGAGCTTAAACCAAAACAATGCCCTTCTGTAATTTGTATTTAACAAGCATAAAGTGCTATGATGGATAAAAAAATTGAGTCCTGTGAAACTCTTCACATATTCAAATATTTGTCCTTTAAAAATATTATTATTATTAAAGTAATATTTCATGTGACTGCTATTCTCATAATGTGGGAAAAGAGAGAGGTTGTGGAAGGCTTTTGGGGGATGCAGATGATCTCTTGGCAAGCTGGAAATCTAGAGAGGGCATTCCAAGTGGAGAAAGCAGCATGTAAATGTGGTGACAGACAATACGATGTGATCAAGAAATGCCAGCAGCTCTGAAGAACTGAAGTACAGGAAGTCTAAAGGAGTGCAGTGACTATAATGAGGTATGAGCCACATCTTCTAAGACCTATATACCACCTCCCCAGCCTAAAAACAATGGCAGTCATCACAGATAAGCACATGCCTTAGATAACCACTTGGAAAAAGAGATGAGGGGGAGGGAGTTGGAAGGCAGAAAAACCAGTGCAAGTTCCACTGCAGTCAGAGCAGGGCAGGGTAGTAACCAAGTTGTCACAGCAAGCAGGAGAAAGAACCTATGTTTGAACTGCCTGCTTATGTCATTAAGATCTCTCACCACCCCATTTTTCAGAACACTGCTCAAGCCAATTCTATAAACCATAGACTCAAGAATAAGAATATCACATACATTGAGGAAATTTTAATTTAGCTTTCCTGAGAGCTGGAAACCCACCTCTGCAAAGTTCAGCACATTCCTCAAAGCTGCTCTCACTTCCTTGTGTGGCTGACTCAGGCAGCAAGAAAAGGCTCCGTTGCTAAGACAACTCCATCCTAGGACTCCACACCACACAGCCCTCTCCTGTGCTGTCAGCCTAAACTCTCAGGGAT